ATATATGTATATATATATTTCATATATGATTTATGTAATATATAATTTTGTAATCAAGTTGAGGATAAACATTTGAACTTAATAAAAACTGGCAAAGTTTTGGGAAACTTGCATTTTGGTATAATTGCCATTAGAAAAGTTTACCATTTACTGTTTACTCACCTGTATTGCACTGGTGGATGTATCCTTCCCGCTTTGATTTCCAAGTCCTGAGTCATCAGCATCAATTAGATTATCTACAGGAACTTCTTGTTTGGATTGTACATAAGTAAAGTCATCTTCACATGAATCCAATGCCACACAAACATTGTATGAATAGGGAAGAGTTAAAGTTCCATCACTGTACATAGAGAGTATTCTGGGATCGACTGTTGGATACAAATTTGCATTTAGAGGTCCAAGAGAAGTGGGTTTTGATTGCTTGCATTTTGAAATTAAGACTAACATTACAGTAATAATAAATAAGAAGGAAATGATGGCTAAGGCAATTACTAAATACAACTGCAGATTAGTTTGATGATCTTCATTGATCTGATTGATTCTTTTAGGAACTATCTGTTCAAAACTATCTGCAATAAAAAGATTTAAAGTGACTGTAGCCGAGAGAGATGGGACTCCATTGTCCTTCACCATAACCACAACCTTGTGTTTTAGTATATCCTTTTCCTGAAAAAGACGTGATGTCCTGATTTCTCCAGTATGTTCATTGATGGTGAAGGAAGAGAGTTCTGATATTTGTATGAAATGATAGGACAGCCAAGCATTGTGCCCAACATCTGCATCCACTGCAACCACCTTTGTTATTAAAGATCCTGGTTCTGAGGCAAAAGGAACCATCTCAAACACAGCTGATCCCCCACTTTCTGGATATGGATACAAAATGTGTGGTTTATTGTCATTGTGATCCACTATGCGGATTATCAATGTTGAATTGCTGCTAAGTGATGGAGAACCATTGTCTCTGGCATTAAGTTGTACTATGAATTCCTTATGCTGTTCATAGTCAAACGATCTTTGAGCATAGAGGACTCCATTTTCCATGTTGACAGAAAAATAGGAGGATACTGATAATTCTTCACTGTACACTGAATATATAATTTTAGCATTTTCTCCATAATCTGGATCTGAAGCTTGTACTCTGTAGATAGAAGCTCCAGGTAGATTATTCTCTGGTACATAAGCAACATGATGCGATTTCATAAAAACTGGTGGGTTGTCATTAACATCTAAAATCTCCAGTCTGATCATTTTTCTACTGGAAAGAGGAGGAGACCCTCTGTCTCTAGCTAAGACTATGATGTTGTAACTAGATACTGTCTCTCTGTCCAAATTACTTGTAGTCACAATTCTGTAATAGCTATCAGATGAGAATATCAAACTAAAAGGTAATTCTTCAAAAATGTTACAGTCAGGCTGTCCATTTTCTCCTGCATCTATATCATGAACTTCAATGAGAGCTATCATTGTTCCAGGTACAGAATCCTCAGGAATGGGTGAATATAATGAGGTAATGGATATCTCTGGGGCATTGTCATTCTCATCTATCACTTCTATCAAAACCTTACAATGAGAAACAAGCCCTCCTCCATCCTTAGCTTGAACAGACAATTCATAATTCCTTGTCTCTTCATAATCTAACATTTTGTTTATTTTAATGTCACCACTTTTGGGTTCAATGCTAAAAAGGCCAGAAGGATGGACATTTCCTGAGGTTTTGCTGAAGGAATAAAGGATTTCTCCATTTGTCCCAGCATCTTTGTCTGTTGCATTCACATTGATTATAGTAGTACTTACTGGACTATTCTCAATCACACTAACTTTGTATATTTTATGGGAAAATATTGGGAAATTATCATTAACATCAGTAACAATGATTCGTAATATAGCTGTTCCAGTTCTCACAGGATTTCCTCCATCCAGAGCAGTTAAAATCAGTTCATGAACATTTTGTAATTCTTGATCCAGTGATTTTTCCAACACAAGCTCCAGAGATTGGAATCCATCACTGCTAAGCTTCTGGCTTAGTGTAAAATGTGGATTGTCACTGAGCTCATATGTCTGTACTGAATTAACTCCAATATCCAGATCTTCTGCATTTTGTAATGCAAATCTTGTTCCTGGTGATGTTAGTTCAATAGTCTCTATAGTGAAAGTCTCAGAATAAAACACTGGAGAATTATCATTAATATCCTGAATTTCTATTTTTGCTTTGAAAATATTGAAAGGATTTTCAACCACAACATCAAAGGTTAGGAAGCAGGTAGCCGATGCCCCACACAGTGCCTCTCTGTCTATCCTGTCCTTAACATACAGATTGCCATTATCACCATTCACATAAAAATATTTCTCTGAGTCTCGAGACACAATTCTCAGTTTTCTAGATGAGAGCTGATTAATATCTAATCCAATATCCTTTGCAATATTTGCTATAACAGAATCTTTTCTCATTTCTTCAGCAATGGAATAACGAATCTGACCAGAGACAATATGACACAGCCAGGAAAACAAGAAGGAAAATAATACTTGCCACCTCAGTCCTTTGCATGTAACTGGCTTCATTTGATCAATTCTCTGCATCTGCAATCTTCTATCAAATAAGATTATATTTGCAATCACGTGAAACAGGAAGAAGTATTGTTCCATCCACTTGTTAATGAACAGAGAAAATATCCAAAATATTTTGCAGATAAAATTCAGAAGTGGTTGTGACTCTTCTTGCAGATCTGCAGTGTGAGTGAATGATGTAAATTCCAGTGGATCTCCAGTTCTGAATTTTTCTGCTTATTGGTCAAACAGCGGCGCTGTGAGGTGTAATTGAGGAACTGCAATGCTGGTGGTTAGTTCAGTAAAACCTATGTTCAGGCTATTATAAGATTTTAATTTTAGCCTAAGTAAATATAATGCTAAACACTTTTCGTATCTAATGACATCTGTTGGAATCTTAGAGTTTTACTATTTTATTTTTGTTTTTTAACTGTCCTAAATTACTTTTTTGAGTGATGAGTTTTACTGTTTTCATGCAGTGTTTATTTAGCATTTAAATGTATATTTTTTATATGTGAATGATCAATAATGCATCATTTCTAAAATTATTTTACTTTGTTATGTTAATTCATTTTAAAGCATTTCTCCTTATATTATATTTTTAAATTGTCTGATTGAAGTGCTTTTGTATAAATAAGGTACTTATATACAGGAAGACCTAATTTGTATTTTCCCTATAATAAGAGATTTCTGGGATCAGTCAAATTACAAAAAATTCTTCATGTATTTACTGACAATATTAAGAAGTAATTGACCACCTGATGCCATTCAACATTAACATATTACAAACTATAGATACTTTAGAACTATTTCAAAAATATTATTTACAAAATCATGCAAATAACACCTTCCGAAAAGAGAAATGACTTGTGCGTAATGTTATTTTATTTGCATACGTTTCCAAACAAGCACTGCTTAAAGTCTATCTACTAATCTTTTGTACTTTAGTGAAGCCACTCCTGTTGTGTTTTACATGTGAACCAGAACCACTAGCCCTGTGCTTATGTGGTACAGTATTTCAAACACCACTATATATGGTTGTCTGGTTTGGCAAATGCTGTATGTTGTTTTAAACATCTGGCAGATGGGGCATTCACTTAGAATCCCAATATAAAAATCATACAATCCAGAAGGCTCTTATGCTTTTATAGACAGTTATATGCACACATTTGCCAGGGAACAGTGCCTAAAATCTGCTTTAGACTGGTACTCTAGCCAAGGAATTATAAGCATTAAACATGAAATGCCATAAATGCCTTTATAGTATCGTAAGAATAAAAAGTGTGCAAGAACATTAAGTTGCTGTTCACCAATATCAAAGTAACACAAGTGCAATGATTCTTCAGCTTATGATGACCACAGACTTTTTATTTTGGAATTGGGGTTCTTACACTCTGAGGTTAACTTACTAAAGGAGTAGAGCCTCTTCACTAAGTAAAGTACATTTTCACTTTGATAGAGTGAACAATACTCAAGGGGAAGCTGTGTTCACCTTGAACATCAATCATGTGCAAATGAAATTAAAAAAACAGGATTATTGCTAACACATGAACGGATGATTGGAGTGAACACAGCTTTATCATATTTACTTAGCTTATTGAACATCAACGAAGAGAGAATATTCACCTAATGAGTGGATACACTAAAGGTGTAGAGATGGTGCAATGCTAAAAGAATAGAGGCATAACCAATGCATAAGGAAAGATTTCACAGCAAGAGCTATGAACATTTGGAATAGGCTACCTAAGGATTTTTTTTCTAATTAGATCAATTCATTGTTAAAAAAAAAAGCTGGATGCATTCCTAAATGCACAGAATATAACGTATTATTATTGACATGCATAAGTAACAACACCACAGATTGTTGATCCAGAGAATATCCAATTGCCTTAGGAGATAAGGTGTGGTCTCTTTATTTACTTTAACTTTTAACCCAGTGTTTTAACTCAGTGTTTGCTGATGATACTAAAATTGGGAGGGTAGTAGACACAGATCTAGACATTATGACATTACAGGAGGACCTGGATAGAATGGCAGATGAAGTTCAATGTCGATAAATGTACGGTAATGCACCTTGGAGTTAAAAATAGGCTAATGGACAATTATGGGGATGCCACTAGGGGAGTCGGAAACGGAGAAGGATTTGGGGGTCATTATAGACCGCAGATTGAAGAACAGCGTGCAGTGCCAGGCTGCTGTAAACAAAGCAAGCAGAGTCCTGTCTTGCATTAAAAAGGTAATGTATTGCAGGGACACCGATACTCAGAAAGGATGTCCTTGAGCTGGAAAAAGTCCAGAAGAGGGCAACAAAACTCATTAAGGGGTTCGAGGATCTGAACTATGAAACAAGGTTGTTAAAATTAAATATGTTCTCGTTGGAGGTTAGGAGATTAAGGGAGGACATGATTTTCATGTACAAACTACTCAAGGGTGACAGCAACTTTAATAACAAACTGTTTACAGTCAGCTCCGTAACAAAGACCAGAGGGCACAACCGAAAATTGGTGAAAAAAAAAATTCAACATACAGGGCTCAGGGGGTTCTTCACAGTTAGAGCGGTTAAGGTCTGGAACTCGCTGCCGCAGGAAGTGATTTCAGTTAAGAGTGTTGAATCATACAAGAGACTCCTGGGCGAGTTCCTTGGAGACCATAATATACAGGGGTACAGGTATTGCTAAGAGAAAAAAAATCACACATGGACTCATATTCACGCACACACCTGCTCATAAATGCATACACGCAATAGGTTGAACTTGATGGACTTATGTCTTTATTCAACCTCAAATACTATGTGACCCTTTAGTGAATGAGTAGGGGTACAAGTACCCCTTACGTATTCAAAAGGGGGGGCAGCGAGCAGCATCGGGACACCCCTTAATTAAAGGGGTACCCTGGTGCAAATAAGACCCACTACCCGCAGACCCCCCATAACCATTGGGTCAGGGTTGTGGTAAAGAGGCTCTTGTCCCCATCGTCCAAATCTCGAAACAAATTGACTTTCGGACCCAAGTCCTGAAAAAGTAAAATAATGAAAAAACCAAATGAAAATTAAACGTAATTAATTTTTTGTGGGCACACATGTGTACATTACAAGGATTTTTTTAATACCTACCTCTGAATCAACTGTGGGTAACTGTGGATATAGGGTTCTGTGTATGGAGGCTTGTTTATTTATTTATTAATTCATTTTTCTCTTTTGGCGTAACTCAGGTTGACCAATTTGTTTAAGCATTACCGTTTATTGTAATATGAACAAATAAGATATGTAAAACTTTTATACACAGTGGAAAATCAAATAAAAGAAAGACCATAGTAACATGGACCTGGTACACATGTTTGATATAATTATATAGCCCTATCTGTCCTCTAAAAAACAATATATAATGGTATGATGGTTACATTTCGGTCAGGAGGATAGTTTATTGTCGGATGGTTTCTTCAGTGTAAAATGAAACGTGCAATATGCCCTATGTATTCATTTAAATTGTACCTCCCTCCACTGCTTGCCGATTATGGCTTTTCGGGTACAAATCCATCCTTTGAGGATAATGTGGTGTGTATCAACAGGAGAGAGTTGTAACAAGTCAGCCCATTTTTTTAATGAAGTTCAGGGTTTGCGTATCATTCGAGTGTATATGGGTACGTAAGGCATTGTGAATTTTAGAGAGTGATATCTTTGAAGGTGGAGATATAAGTAAATTAATTAAAGTAGGATGTCGGAGGTCAAAATTGGGTGGTGAGAGGTTGCTTTTACTAAAAAAAACTAAGTTGGCGATAGTTAAAAAAATGTTTCGTGGGGATGCCAAATTGGTTCTGCAGGGATGAGAAGGAGAAATCTTGTATCATTCTTAAAAAAGGATTCAAGTTCAATGTTGGAATAGTAGGAAGTGTGGGAAAGCCACTCCCTAACGTGTCCTGAAATGCTGGCCAGATTATAGAGTCTAATATCAGGAAGGTTAACCCCTAGGTCTGTGCTTTTTTCCTTGCCAAATGAAGTTAAGAAAGGAATTGGTGAGTGTGTTAATTTCTTTGTGTTTCAAAAGGAGAGGGGGAGTTGATCCTAGCTGCAAGGAAATCTGGGACCATCTACCTTCAAGGGAGTCATGTTGTTGATGTAGTAAAACATAAGGAAGGGATTTGTTGATGAGGGTGATGACTCAAACCTTTTGACCATTTGCAGGGGCACCAATAGCGAGACCTACCCATGATTTTTGGAGATGAGAAATGTGTGGAAAGGTGAGTCTCTTGGAGCAGAACAATGTCTGTGTGGAGCTTTTTGTGATGTCTCAAGACTTTTTGGCAGGGGAGCGAAGATCTTTTACATTCCATTAAATTACAGTTAAGGGGGATTCAATATCAGATGATTAAAAACTGAAGAAGTATGGTGGTGAAAAACGTTTAGTGAGGAAAGTAAGGCCCTGTGCTAATCTCGCCTGTGTAAAGGAGCAAGATTGAATGAACAGTTCAGCAAAAACCATGCACAAAACAGCATAGCAAAGCAGTTGAACAAAGGTGCAATTTGGCAACTTCCTTTTGTCCTGTAGGGTCGAATCTATAAACAAACAAGCCAATGACCTTGCGAAAGACAAATGATCAGCAGAAAGGTCGTCATAAACAGATGGAAAACAACTCATAGGAACTATGATCGGAAAGCCGACACGCCTGGGTAATTTGGTAGAGAAACAAAAAACATTCATGCCTCTGCAGCTAATCAGGTAGTCTTTTTCAGGACTCTTGGTAGGAAAGGGAGCAGAAGTAGAATCTAGAGAAAGCACATGTTTTCAAGCTTTTTCGACAGAGACAAAAGAAGAGAACTAGCCATCTGGATTATTGACACGTTGTTTTGCTGGATATTGTAGAGCAAAATGGATGCATTTTTGAACCAAGGATTGGCAGACTTCATGAAAAGCTTTTCTGCATTTGGTCAAATTAGCAGAATAATCAGCAAAGAGTTAAAGCTTGAATCCATTCACCACCAGATTCATCTGGATCCTGTATGTTTAAAATAGCAAGTGCCTATCAGCATAGTTTAG